CCGCTACTGGTAAATGAAAAAGGTATAGCAGATCAGTCGATTCAGACTGAATAACAAGCACTTCATTGCGTCTTCAAGATCACAGCAATCTTGACTACGTCAGTCAGTCATTATGTAGAATAACTCTGGTCCATAGATCAACAGATTGGTGTGCCCCCCCCCCCCCAGCTAATTGACATGATCGTACCTCAGTGGAATTGTGTGAGCAGACATAGAAACAGATATTTCCGTGGACCGGTTGCTAGTAAATTACTAGAGCTCTGATTGACTTGGTGGCTTAACTGATGACGACAAGTTATGTCGAGTCACAGCAGTCTAGACGTGAACACTTCTCAGTGCGCGAAATCAGAAAGCAAGCAAGCGAATTTTGTATTGATTGGAAAGGCAAGATAGGTCAGAGTTACGTTGGCAGCTTTGTAGACCGCAGAACAGTTCAATGTCAAGCGCGGGTTCACGTTTCCGCGGCGCTTCTAAATGAGGCACGACGTAAACCCATAAGTTACCAGCGTCATTCGTGTTAGAAATTTGGTAAAAACAATCTCCAGAAAAGTGGCGGATAAATTGAGGTTCACAGTCGAATATTCACGACCTGAGGCATATCCAAGTGAAATCGTGCTTTGCCGAGTCTTGATTCTTTCTATAACGGTCAAACTGAATTTCTTCCATTCGTGTTCTATTCACTTTGCAACCAATATTCTTGCTGCGACCTCTCACTCCAGAAGACCTAGGTCCACATCTATTTGATAGTTCTTATGATACGTTTCAGCGGGATCGCAGAACTGTACAGGAACATCCAAAAAGAACACTGTAAATGCGCGCAGGCTACTCGTTTGACTTCTGTTAACTACTTATTAGTAAAGCCAATTCATACATATAAATTAGTCTCCCTCGGATTCGCATTTTACCGCTCCGTAAGTCATTTGTGAGCCATTTAAACGTTTCCTTCATCGAACAACCCTTGTCCTCTTGGTTATTTGAAGACAAAAATTTGAACGAAAACAGGAATGTGAAAAGTGCTGGTTTGCGAATGCTTGGAAAATCCCGCCTGTGGTCGAAAGACAACATGCCAGGAAGTTGAGGGTTCGAAACTCCCTGAAGTTCCGTGAGATGCGCACTGCGTTGGTTTCTATTAAGGACCCAGGAAGTTGAGGGTTCGAAACTCCCTGAAGTTCCGTGAGATGCGCACTGCCGTGGATTCCTATTAAGGACGAAATGGTTTTATGGTGCTTCTCAGTTTTTCAGCATAGCTTAGCTTCAAGTATGGGTCAGAACGTAAACTAACAAATCAGCTTTCTGTCCAGAGAGCAGTGGTCAAAAATCATCCACGTTCTAAGCCGTTCCACCGCTCCAAAATTCATGTCAGCGACGACAAACAAGCCTGGCTCAACTGTTTGTGATCCTCCCAATCCTGCCTATCGTTATCAATTTCGCTTAAGGATCTGACCCGGGATTACAGAGTGCAGTTTTCAAATTTTACAGCAGACATCTGCCGGCTGTGCACTTCTTGAGTAACCACTCCAAATCTACTGACTGTCAATTTATTGGCATTTAATTCGCTCCCATTCTAACGTACAGAATAGCGGCTTTCAAATCATTCAATAGCAGATAAATTGGGCCTGATCTTTTTCAACATGTTTCATGCAGTTTTTACAGCAAGATTTCGCGGATGCAAGAGAGTCCTCCTGATGGTCTGCTTCAAGTAAATGTGCTGCGCCAGGTCGCCTCATATTTCAATTAGTAGGATATTCGACAAATCGCAGTAAATTGTTGTCTAGACGTAACACGCTACGCAACACACGAAGTTTATAAAAGATCTTCGATAGCGAGCCACCCTTCTTAGGGATTATCAGGCAGGCACGGAACACCATAAACAAGAGATTCAGTTGGATTCAGGTGGGTTGTATGCCAAGACAAAATTCGTGTGCAAATGGGAGGAGTTATCGAAATTCGTCCAATTTGGGCTCAGAAAAACATAATTTTGACGGAGACATCGGGACTCCGCTTACTTGTTGGGCCCCGAGAACGGCGAAACCAGTCATTGTCTGTTGAAGGGTTTTCAGCAACATTATGAGTAGTGCGTTGCACCCAAAGCTTAAGGCGACATCTCAAACGAGCGGTGTACGACAGCCAGTCTTAACTAGATCACCGCCCCCCCTTTCGACTTGCTCCGCATTCAGAGATGTCTTCTGTTTCGCCGGTTTTCAGGACTGTACAGCGGCGGAAGGCCACCGGTCAAATGAAATCTTGGCGTTGACAGATGGGGAGGGTTTCGCATGTCTAAGTTGAGTTCCACTTGTGTCTAAAAGTGCAAATTTAGATGGGTTCAACTATGGAAAACCATTTGTCCCAAAAAAAGCATTTTCCGAGAGGGGGACAGAGTTGCACATTTGGTGGCAAGTGAGAGACAGACAAAGAGATATTACAAAACTACATTGATTTGGTTTTTTCGTGAATAACCTCAAATGATTCGCCATTGTCTGGATTGTGCTGTGCCCATCAAATATTGGCTTGTCTCATCACTCACCTCCTCTAGTTCGTCACTTTTCAGCTTGGATGACAAACGTTCCTTGATCCTTCGACTGAGTTACCTTGCCGCACAGCAAATCTACAAGGGGAGATAGTTAACACAGTTTAACATCGATCACTTCTAGCAAAAGGTTGGAACCAGTGAGTCGTAATGTCCACACGAAAAAGCGGTAGATCGTATGCGATAAATAATGCCATGCTTGGCTTTAGTAAAGCTCCTTTCTCTTGGTTTATAACTCAACAGCTATTGTTATTTGTTATAGTAGCTTGAATCTGATCAATCTGCTCGACAATCAGTCAATCTGCTTGACACATTCCGTCATACGTGACTTTCGAATAGATCGGACTTGTGAAGGGGTAAATCAGTCGAAAGACAAAAGAAGCTTTGCTATTTATGCTGAGAAGAGTTGGTCTGATTAAAACATAGCAGTGGGCCGATGTATTTTCTGGGTCTGGTCGAATTCCATGCAACTTACTGTGATCAGAGAAGTCGCTACCATTTTCTGCTCAAGTCTTGAGCGGGTATAAATGCTCTGTCCGCACACCTAAGCTCTTATGGTTGTGCAACGCCCATCCACACAGACCCTCCCGTCCTTCAAAGCTGCGAGGTCACTGGCTAGATGACCTAAAATGCATGTAGACCAGCTGATCCAAGATGAGATTCTCTGATCCTCATCAAGCGGCTTTGTTGAGGAGTTTGTTGTTTCATCGTGGCCAAGCTTCGGATTCTAATGGACTGCCCAGCTGTTTACTTTTTCAGTTTCTTGTCGATCAGCTTATGTCTACTTGCTGGACCCTGGGCTGCGTGCTTCATCGTTTATCACATATATGCCTAACCCTATAGTAAATACGCTTGCCACAAGGCGGGCTTGTGAGAGGTACTCGTAAATTTGGATTCATCCGCTCTTGCCAAAAAATAGATCGTTCGCTACCCTCCTTCAAATAAAACCGGATTTTCTCGGTTGTTCGGTGGTAATGATTGGATTGTGATTACTATATGATCCTTTATTTCGGGTGGTACCGAAACTTCTGTTTTTCAGGTGTTAAACTTCAAGACCTATCCGAAAAAATTCATCTGAAAATTTACAAATAATCGATAGTTTACAATATGGTTTTCTTGAGACAAGCAGATTTCCCTATCCAATTAATTGCTGCTGAATTTGGCACATCCCAGTACACATGACAACCTTTGTAGAAGGCTTAGAACCTCATCGATCGGTGTACGCGAGCCGACCATACTGACTTATGGCGACTTGCAATGAGTATACCATGAACTTGGAACTTGGTGAATGTGGAAGCCTAAATTATGTTTGTTTTCAGTAATTGAATTATGGTAAACACCACCAGCATGTTGTAAGAAACGCCTCATGGTCACCCTGAAAGAACTCGAAAAACAAATTGGAATGAACGGAGCAGCTATTTTTTTGTTCCTGGAGGGGCAGCAGCGCAGTCCGTGACATTAAAAGTGCAAATCCCGACGTGCAAACGCAGAAGAAAGCCACCCAGTTGTTGGCTGGACGTTTTTGCAAAAGTGAGCATTCAACTAAAAGCCGAATGCATTGATCGATACAGCACATGGAGTAATAACTGAACCTGAGTAAAGTTTGAATCGATATGCGTGGGCGTGTCTTTTAGTGTTCATTAAGATGGTGATCGATCAGTCCAGGAAACGAGAAAAAACTGCCAAAACGGACAAGGTAGTCGTACTACTGGTGGCATGTCGTAGAGTGTGCTCAGCCCACCGACGAAGATCCCAGACTTCGCGTACACACTGAATTCACTTGGAGCGATATACCGGCATATGTAACATCTGCGACGATAGCGTCTTTGCTGTCCTTCCAGATAAAGTCCGCCATATGGTTTGCTCTTTTTTAAAAGCGCGTGAGTGAACCGGCTTTCCTTAGAATGGTCGAAGAGTTAGCTAGCAAAGTAGCTGACTAGTAGAGGACGAAAAATCACTTGACTAACTAGACTTTCGTCCAGTTGTCTGATGCTAAATCTGGCTTCAGGTAGATGTCACTTATCGGAACTAGGTTTACACGTGCGTCGAAGGAACATCCGCTCTCTGACTGACTGCATACTTGCCTGCCTAGACAACCAGGTGACCTTAGCTAACAGAAACCAAATGAGACGAGAACAAAACTCTACCAAATCTCCTCACACCATCAACAAAACTCTTTTGTTCACACGTGGCTTCAGGTGATGTGTTAAACTAAGCTCCGGTAGCCACGGTGATTGACAGGTGTGTGCTTTGTTTCTGGTTGTCCTTCAACAGAGTCAGCAACCATGCCAACTGCCTACTCGACGCCAATATGGCAGGCCAATCCCTCAACGGAATTGCTACGCGGTGTCGGCTAAAGTTATTGTTTGGAACTTGCTGTTTGTCTAGCAATCACCACCACCACTACCATCCTAGGTCTCTTGCTTTCACCTCTGTCGCTGATTCTACGTCACTTGCCTCCGTTCTTTCGCAGCTCGAATACTCCTGGACATTCCGTGTCGTGTGTGCAAAGATCACTCGTCTGGCAAGCACTACGGTATCTACGCTTGTGATGGGTAAGTCGTGTGTACAGTTCTTTGCATGCGGTCAATGGGAGGGGGGTTGAGTACAATCGCATTTTTACGGCACCCACTGGTGAGCCTCGTCGTTCGGCTGAGTCTGAAGTCACTCTGTCTGTATGCCTTCTGTATACTCAACAATTAGGTGAGTTCCTCAGCCACGGAGAAGACAGTTCATAACCTAATCATCGAAGATTTCAAAGTGCACTGCTTTCTCTCATGAGTACAAACAGTTCACATTTCCCGAGGTCAGTCTTGGTATGGTCACAGGGGTCAAATTACGGAATGACTCATCACCCGAACAAGATAGAGGCACGCTATCTCAATATCTGAGGCACGCCGAAAGATCACGGTTGGCAGTCCAAGCCGACCTGGTGGTACGCTTTTCTTTCAGTAGAAAACACCTATAATAAATAAATAAATAAATAAATAAATAAATAAATAAATAAATAAATAAATAAATAAATAAATAAATAAATAAATAAATAAATAAATAAATAAATAAATAAATAAATAAATAAATAAATAAATAAATAAATAAATAAATAAATAAATAAATAAATAAATAAACGAATAAATAAATAAATAAATAACAAAGTAGCTAGGTGTAGTGGAAGCACAGATGTGTTAAAAGAGATTCGGCGGGAGATTCTAGTGTGTTGACCTAAATATTTGCAGTCCATTTTATTCTGGAACGGCTGCATTCAGTGGGGATATAACTTTTGGCGCATGAGACCGTCAAATGAAGAGCACCGGCTATCCAGTGAACGAGGGGAGAATCGGGAGGAGTCGAGTATGTGTTGGGGCAGTCATGCACTCGCCCTGTTTAGCGATGAACGGAGTGATCAGTTGAACAGTTTCTGTAAGGTGTACGAACATTCCAGATGATCGATAGGTGCAGCCAAACCGGATGAGACTCATCAGGCGAAAAGATGTCCAGGCTTTAGTTCATGATTGGCACTCCAGATAGACCCCCATTCGAAAGTTAGCTGCGGTCAGATAGAAATTTTCACGGCTTCATTTCAAAACACCTCGGAACGGGTGACAATTATGAAGCGTATAACAGTACTGTGTATGACTACCTACCATGATTAGTTAGCCCACTTAAACAAAGTATAAGCGTGGCCCCAAATGCCGAATGTATACAGTGGATCTATTGAGTATTGGGGCGTACTCAAGGGTCATACCGATGCACACGATCCAAACGCCAGTGTCATCTTTACGGAATTCACCTGTAGTTGCGGCCCCATACACTATTTTCCTGATGAAATTTGAACCACTATTCATGGAGACCTATTGGACCGCAAAACTCCCAAAACGCAGTTACATTTAAAGTCACGTTCATAGTTTCACTGACGAGAAGCCAAGAACTTTCCCCTGGAGCAGACAGGCAGAACTGGATGTAGTGACGGCAATCACTCGAACGAAGGATGGTATTGGCGTATTCTTGTTACGAGTCAATCACACTGCCTGATGGTCACGCAGTTCCAATAGGCTACAGGTTCAACTATCGCCTGTGACTCTTGAGATCCAATGTTCCACCATCTAGAAACGGCTTCTGGGTTTTTCACTTGGACAAGGAAGACCGTAAGGGGAACAGTCACGTGCCTGACATAATCAGTATTTCGGAATCGTGATATATGTCCTGACACAGATTATTTTCGTCTTGGTTCAGGAGATGAACTTAGACCCGCATTTTTACACGGCTTACCGAGGACAAACCAATTTGTTGAACAGCGTTTTCCGCTTACCACTTTTTCGAAGCTCTGTAGACAGAGCTGTTAGATCACGTGTCACACGGAGTTTACTCTTAACAAGTAACCAAAAGAACAAATACAAAGTTAATTTATTATTCCCCTTTTATTTTATGAATCGGATGTCTCCGTACGTCTGTGGAACATCAACTGTGATCAGCTGTGCCGGGTTTTTCAAGGTGAGTGTTGAGTGTCCAATCACAAACTCGGTACCGACTACATTGTTCGGTGATTTAAAACAACTTGTGCAAGAGTTCGATTAGAAATAGAAAATTTTTTTCTGCCTGCTTCAGGATTTCCAAAACAGCCGCTTCGGTCATTTAGTGAGTCGTCGACAGTGCGTATATTGGTAATCTTGAAAGGGATCCGAACCTGAAACCTGCGGTTGAAGAGTATGCTGAAGAGTGTTTCAGCTCATAGTCAGCCTTGAACACGGATGTGTAGGCACCTGGTGCACTACACTAATTTGCACTTAGCATGGAGGTACTCACCCGAAGCAACTCATAAATGAGAGACCAATGTAATCTACAAGCGAGTGTGTCTGATCATCAGCTATCTCGCTTAAAGGCTGGAACACACATGGTTGTCTTGTCGTAAAACAATCATTTCAAAAGCTTTACTATCTAATCATCGGAAAAATCACCTAAATTCTGGGATAAAGAGCTACCGGAGGTGAAACTACCCCCAGCGAAGGAACTCATTTAGGTTCCCGCCCTCTTGAATGCACTGATCAAAAGGATGCTGGAACCGGCGGAGGTTTTTCTGCCAGCCATCGAGAGTGCAATTGTCGTGCGGAAAAACAAGGACAAAAACCACTCGAATGAACGAACGATAAGCATCTATATCTGATCGGTCGCCACGATGAGCTACCTACAGGAATGTCATTCCACTTCAGATGCGATGTAAGGTCGCTTGTTATTGTTTGTATCTCAACACACCTGCCCCCCGCCCTATTTGGGTTCGAGAATTTGACAGCTGTTTGTAGCAAGTAGTACCAGTAGTGGGTCACAGTCGCCTGGGAAAGGAGTTGCTCAGAGAACCGTGGTGTCAAACTAACAGAGAGAGACAGAGTGGTTGTCAAACGTGTCAGTCAGTCTAATCATTGAGCTGTCTATCACCCCGAGCTCTACATTTACGCGAGAGAGAAAAAAAGCACTTCAGCTTTCCGGCTGTGTCAACCACATGATGGTGTCGTTCACCGGCAAGTTTGAGTCACTGAGAATCGTTCGCAGGCTTTTGTTACAACCTCTCAAAATGATTACCATGCTTAGCAGGGGGCGGGCCTGGACAGAGATGGACAGATAGAAACTACGGAGAGGCGAAGGGGTGGTATGATGTTCATCCTATTTTATTTGATCGGCCTACTTGACTGGTAGGCACAAAAAGACCTGGACAGTGTTCTCTTATTTTCAACCCTGCTGACGACCATTTGTTGTTCGATGCGATTCATTCTGCAACGGTCTGTCTCTCGTTTCTCTAATATCTAGCGTTCGATTCGGAGGAATCGTCAGTATGCCTGCAAGAATAGAACTGCCAACGGAACCAAGCTATCCACTGCTGTCGGTGGATGCCGAGTGGACAAGTCTCACCGAAACCAATGTCGAGCATGTCGCTTGAAAAAATGCTTAGAGGTGGGAATGAATAGAGATGGTAAGTCATACTTCGTGGGGTATTCCTTGTCCTTCCTTGTTGATTTAGTCATGTGACTCATTAAAATAATCAAATTACTCCAAGATTTCCCATCTTTTACAATATCTGATCACCAATGTATCAACTATGACCTTTCTTGATGCAACACTACTCATGCGGTTACTGAATACCCTCTTTAGTCATCCTATGGGTAGCGTCGCTTCAAGAAGATATCAGGCAGCAGATTCAGTTAATGGATACCATTGAAGAGAGGTTCATCTGGAATTCAGCTGAGTCTCCACTGCACAGACAAATCGATATGCAAATGAGTTAATTTCCCTAATTACGGTCTTGTTCAGATCATTTTCGCTCAGAATACAACCACTTGGGACAGGGTATGTAATCTAGCCTGTCCTTCTGTCGAACTATGACATTGATGTACACACAGGTGAGCCTAATGCTAGGTAACGGACCCGTGTATTGTGCCAACCTGAAGCTATGGAGATAGAATACATTCGGATTCGTTGAACATTTCGGGACTTCAGCGTGGTCTTTTTCCTCACACAGGTCAGTAGGTATGCAGCTCAACCAAACCAACTAAAGGAGTTGGGGAAACATGCCACTTGATATCTAGTAACATTTGTCTAGATCAAGCCTATACCTTTTGGTTCTCACCTTTCTCTTCGCTTGCGGCGTAAGATGCCTACCATTCTTTAATGCACAACTGCGTTTTCCGATTTCTTCACGATGTTACCCTCAGTTGCCAACTTATTGAAGGCAAACAGATCATCAACTTGAACGCACCGTTGGCCCTCAAATTATTTTCAGTGAGGATCACCATTTTTATCCTGGGTGTTGACTTGTACTCTGAGCTAGACTGTCCAATTGGAAGGGTTTCATCACCTATCAAGATGACATGATCAGTGGTTTATTACGGAAAAGTTCGACGCACCGCTGCGCCACATGTCACTGCATAATTGACTTTGATTAACGCGAGCGACAATCGCTCGGGTTGACTGATAAGTTTGAACAGCTGGTTTGGTGACAGAGGTAGCTGGCAACTGGCTTGCCATGATGCTTACACATGATATGCTCTTTTGTAGGGCTCCTCAGGTTTTTTCCTGTTCGGTCTGGCAACTAGGCATCCAAACAGGATTTTTGTTATCTTTGTAATGTACTACCCACAAGGTTGCTGAGAATCCGTCGACAGCCCACGACCGGTTTCGCCCTTCTTGGGGCTCACCAGGTAGGCGCTCGGTCCCCGAGTTTCCGCCAACCGTATGTTCTACTTGAAACCAAATCGCATGAAATTAGCTCATATACACACATTTGCAAACAAATTTGGTTTTTCGAGAGACTCACCTGGAACCCAACTGAATCTCACGTTCGTGATGTTTTTGTTAGTTGCCGGAAGCGAAATTGGAAAGGACACCTGCAAATTGCAGATGGAATAGAATCGGGATGGAGTGGTTTGGGTACAAAAAAACTGTCCGTCACTAGGTTTCCTCCATGCCAAAGTGACCACGCGTTGAAGATCATCTACAAGAACCTCCCAGCATCTATTTCATCCTTGCCATTGAGCGTTGTTTTACTTAGGTCATCAACTAGTCCCAAAAGTTTGTGAAATTTTTGAAGGTCGTAGCTTCCAAATTTTGTAGCATAGGACACTTATCAGCGTGCTAAAGTTTTGCACTCTATGCATCCTGTCGTGCGTCAGATCAGTGGGAAGTCGCAAAATAATAGGGTCTGGTGAATTTTCAAAGTTACGAGATGTTCCTGAATGAGAGAGCGTTCGATCCCTTAAACTCCTAAAAACATCAGCTGCATATCCGCAGCACCGTTAAACCGTGTGTCAACTGTGACAATGAAAACGAAGCGGTTATACAGAATATATTTTCAAACAGCTGTCTGTTGGCACAGAAGACAGTGCATTTGAGAACATATGCAAATTGCTCCACATCGAGCACGAATTGATGTGTAATCCTCCTGAAGACATTCCATCACTCGCTTCCTCCCAGTTGTCTGTCTTTGATAAATGATACACACAAACATAACAGCCAATTCCATTAATGGGTCTGGTGAATAGTTACCAGCTTGTGAAATCTGACTGTGGGACACGCGTAGGTAATCTGACTTCCCAATGTTTTGGAGTGAACAAAATTGTGAATTTTTGCGTTCTTTTCTGAAGAAATCCCGGTACACCGCTCTAAAAGAGGCTCTCTAGTTAAATGCGATCGTAATTTTGATGGCCAGTGCACCGATGAAGGAATTATCAAACTGCAACATAGACTAACGAGTCTCCAAAGCTAGTCTGTCCGAAAGACTCAGTACTGAAGAATAGATTGCATGGGTAACGCTTGTTCTGTTAAATGGGTGTACTTTGATGCAAGTGTGAGTTCGCGAGCGATGAACGGACTCGAATCACTCCATTTGCTTTCACCTAGTGAAGGCCTACAATCAACAGCTCCGTTACAGAAACTGAAGATGTACCTGTACTCGGTCTTATATAGTAAAGCGATCATGGTTACGTGGGCTTACTGCAAGATCTATCGAATCCATATCAGAGTTTGCCAGTGCTGAAAATAGCAAGCGAAGGTTTGTCATACCTCAAAGTCTTCCCGTCCTGTGAAGCCTAGGACCGGCTTGCTAGTGGCCATCACAATAGATTTGGCACATCGCGTGAAGCCCTAACAACGGAGGAACTGTTCATCATTTGCTTCACAGCTCACTTTACTTTGAAGCATACTCATAACGTTAACCTATCGGTATCCCTTTCCAACACCCATCGGGTGGCTTAAATGACTCAAAAAGCCGTTGAGTCACTGGGTAAAAATGTGTATCACGTGACAAAATCACAGTCATCGCCATCGATAGCGTAACATCAGTGTTCCACACTGAGTATTCGCTACCGCAAGACAGTGATTTACTTCATTATCTTCTTGTGAAGGAGAGAAAAAGTGTTCTTGCCAAAAACAACCGTTTCGAGGTGCACAGATTCCGTGACACACATTCAGACATTCTAGATAGAAAACTGACATCAAGAGTGTCACTGATTAGTGGTCATAACTTGCAGCATCTCCAAAGACTCGCGATGGGACCCCACTGACCCCATCCTGAAGAACTAGTCGCACGTAATCTTTTTTCCAACTCCTCTGATGGTTCAAAGATTGACCACCTCTCTGCTTGCGTCACTCATAATTAGGGAGGGCATGCGACATACATGGTCTGGACACGTTCTTCGACTGAAGTCTGTTCCACAGCCGAACACTCGCATTCTAATTGTGTCGGTGGAGATTCGCAGATATGGTCAGGACTTGTAAGAATAACTTTTCCGGAACAGTGCTGGAACTCGAAATCTTATTGCGGCTGACATATCCGTTGCCAAGCTGTATAGTTCTTGATGGTCTACAGACTACTCGGTACAGAGATGGATCAAGATTCTCTTTAAAAAAACAGCTGTTCACTTTTGTTGCCTTGTGCGCTCAGGGTCATCCCTTAGCCTTTCACACGTAGTACCTTAAGGATTGGCTTCCAACTCGTAGAATATTTTTTCTACCGAAGTACATGGCTGCCCCTGTAAAAGGCACCTACAGGCAAGTACCCCTTCTGGCATCTTCTCCCCTCATAAGGAGAACGGGCAGCTAGGATCAAAGTTTGGCTATGCTCAATATGGTGGGTAGGTCAGATCAACGTCGGGCCCATACAGCCATGTCATCCAGCTCCTCGTTTGTTGAAAGAATCTTCGTCTTGCCAAATAACCATTGGCATAAAACGAATTGCCACAGTACAGTCGTCACCCGACTGTTTTGATGATCATAAACAGGAACTGAAGGAAGTCAATACGGGATTGAATTTGTGTACCACAGAGAGAAGGAGAGACAGAGACAGCAACACACGTGTAGAGAGAGACAACAGTCACGAAACTAACTTGTCTGGACAAGCGGAATAGGCAAACATGCTTAGAGTTTAGAGCTCCTCATTTGACAGGTGTCAAGAGAAATCAAGCAGGCCCTGGTTAGTCGTGACCAGATGTTGGGCTAGGGGTAGGACTGGTTGACGCACGAGGATCCCTCTGTCATGTGTGTAAATGCGGACCAAATTCTTTAAATGAGGTGGGTTTTTTTTAAAAAAAACCAAGTTGTTCCATATCCAGCACACTCAGTGTACCTACAGAAGCCTTTTGGTATAAATAACTGTGACTCATAGTGATAGTTTTGGAGGAGTCAAGTGTACCTATCATCAGACACCACTCGGAGCCAATTTGGAGCAGACAGTTTAGTCAAGTCACACACTGAACGGTCAATCAACCAGTCATGCATAATGGCATTTGTGACAAGCTTTACGAAAGACGTACGCACAGCTAACCAGACGACCAGACAGGTGTGTTTCTTTTTCACTGTGTGTGTGTGTTGCCGTACGCGTCAAAACAGGTTAACTTATGCATCGACTTAAGAAGTTATTCATTCATTAAAGTTTGTCATAAGACTAGGGACTGGTAACAAAGAACTGCTGTTTCATGAAGCTGGGGTTCATGGAAAAAGCGATTCACGTGGCACTGTGGTTCCAACATCTGCTCGAGGATGCCGTTTCAAACTTTGTACATGATGGTGAGGGAGCGATGCGAGCTGCTGTATAATGCTACTAGCTAGCAAGGTCGATTGACACCTTCCGCAAATTCTGTGCTCCACAGTATCCTCACCCGAGGGATGGTAACACTGACGTCATGGTTTTTGCGCAACGCCCACTCTGGCTTTTTCTGTATGCGGAAGGTGAAAATCTTTTCCTAGCTATCAGCGCCAACTTAATCGGAGAAACCGATAGAATCGATGGATAATGCGGTTGTCGAAGTGTTGGTCGACAGTCTCCACCTTGAGCATCTTATACACCTATCGGGTTTTGCAAGCTAGATATAAAATGTATCATTGGATGGTAAGTCTGGACCCTGATGCTGCGTTATTCAGCCCACCACCTTACAGGATTCTGACGTAGAAGCGTTTTGTAAACACGATACAAGTTATGAAATCGATTGCTTGCAAGACCAGCTAAGGTTCCGAAATTCCTCTATCCCAGGTTTATGAGAACCGTCGAGGACGCACTGACCTTCCATACTGGGCGTTTTGAAACCCATCGACTATTCCAGTCTGACATACTCTGCCAGATTGCCTTAGTCAATGCAATCCCACCTGGGGAAAAGTCTTTACGTCAAACGGGACGGGCATCTTGCCCCAATTGATCATCTCCTTTAAGCGAAAAAAGTACAAAACGTGGATACTGTGAAGCCTGACTACCGGACAGACGGTAGGCTTGTCGACCCGGGTGAGCGAACGACGGTATGAAGCACAAATTTACTGCGTCCAAGGGAACAATGGCCTATTTATCCAGAGTCAACTGGATCAGGCATTTAGTTTCAAGTGACGACCTGCCTTAAAACAGCAGCCTTTTTTATGCCATTGTAAGACCAAGTTAACACACTAAAGTAGATTCAGTTGGGGAACCCTTTAACGACAAACTAAGTCAACACGAGGTGGACCAGTTCTTTGTTGTCCCAAAATCGACTTGTCTTAAATAACCACTATCTCTTTCACCTAACCTGAGGTGTTCCCTGAAAGTGCCGGTTCGATGATGTACTTTTGGGCTTGGCAACGAAGCCATGGGCTGCATCAGAGATTAAGGTCATTTCATGATGTGTCGCACAAAATCTCGTTCGGGTTGACTCACCAACATGGGAACACTCGGCAAGCATACGCGTCCCACCCATCCACCAAGAGGGAGACGACAGTACTGTGCAGCCGGTTTGCTGACATATCTCGGTAGTGCAAATCCAAGGTTCTGGGACGATGAATGAATAACACTTAACCTTCTGTTTATGAAGGATCGTCCTTACTGCTCACCCGTTGAATTAGTAGTAGTATCTGTTTTCTTCAGTCTGACAAGTTTGTCACAATCAATACTTGAGTTTGTTCAGCATTTTGGACTGTGTAGTTGCTTGAGACAGCTTTGTGTGGTCTATATGACGCTGAATACTCTTCACTGAAAAAATATTAGACACATGACTCTGTATGACAAACATCTAAAAATGATGCGCTAGTCCCACCGGTTGTTTGTCCTTTCTTCATTTGTTGGTCTGTCTGCGTGTATCCCCATATCAAACAGTTCCACACAACTTGGAGGTTACTCCATCTGAATGACAAAACCTAATGGTAGCAAAGTATCATCAAAAACGTCTCCTTCCTTCTCGTGTTCTCCTGTAAATCATTTCACATTTTCATGTTTTTGGCCATACCCCTTGAAAAAATAAACGATAACCACCGTAGTCGCGTTAGTAGCTTCTCAAAACAGTGTCGGTCCTCGCAATTTACGTGTCTTTTCTAGCCTAAGCAATCTGTTGTGGGAAAACTGTCGAGATAAGTTAACATGTTTTTTAAAAAACTCACACAGTTCTGCTCGTGGGATACAACTGATCTTGTTCTTGAGCATCCACCGTACAAGTACTTTTACATTAGACATCATTACACAATAGTGCAAGCAGAACAAATTTCACTTGATTAGCAGGATCTTAATCGACCCTTTTAGGGCAAATTAGAGACAGTCTATTTTGGAGGGAGTGGTTCTACAAAGCGCGAAACGATTGGAAAATCATAAACTGTTTGGAGCGGGAAAGCTACATTCCACCAGGTTTTTATCCGGCCATTGAAGTGTTGAACCAACAGACACCTAATACTCACATTTGCACGTCAATTTGGTTTTGACTCGAGCGAATCTGGACGAATCTCTCATTTATGGTGGAGTTCTTCAACCGTGTGCTGCACAGGACCGTCTAATGCTTCATCTGGCACGATTTTCGGCATACTGGTATATATTGTATGGAAGTAACATGCGACTAATGAAGTTGATGAAATACCTTCGACAGCCAACAATCAATTGTCCCTCTTGGTTTGCAAACGCGAGTAAAACGTAAAGTTGACGGAAACTCGGAGATCACGCCTGCTTGAGGAGCTACAAGAAGGATGAAACCGGTTATGGGCTGTCAAAGAGTGCTTGGCACCTTGTGGATAGACACCCTCAACAAATGAAACTTATCTACAATGACTGAGGATGAATTCGAAGCATCTTGGTGACAAATTCAGGTGTTCAGTGTGATATGGCAAATAGTAGCGGAGGGTTGAAGCCCTAATGAAATAAGCATGTGGGATGCCTTGAATGCTTTCAAATTCACCATTCATCACTTCTGAAGAGATGGGGAAATTAAAAAAATACCTGGTTGCGAAACGGACATACGGCCAATTTTACTCACTACACATCGACCACGTTTCGTCGGTAGTCTTTTGGAATCCCTAAAATTCATGATAGATTAGATTGGTCAGTCCAGTGGACTCTACATTGAATTTTAAAGTCAATGGTGGGTCAGTGATAACTCTAGCTTCCTGGAAGCGGTAGATAACAGGTTTGAGGTTCCACTATCAGCTCCCTTGTTCATGTACGAGTACAATCCAGGAAGTTCCGTAACTTCATCTATCCTTCGCTTCTGGCCCGTAGTTTGGCATACGCCGAGTGAGGTTAAAATTGTCTTTCGCTGTGCAGAACTGTCACGTGACCACAACTGCCTTCATCACCGGATTGGAATGGGTAAATGAGCCGAATATAATACCTTATCTTCGAGTAAACCACTGATCCTGATGAGAACTTATGTGTTATTATCATGAAAATTAGTGTTTTCTTTGAAGTACAGTGTCTTTAACTCTAAACAGCCCTTTTTAATATTTTGAATATCTGTGATTTCTTAAACAGCAGTCGCCTTGACGCCTCTCTCGGGTTCGAACCCCGGGTCAGTGAAATCCAGTCCATGACCCTAGCCACTTGGTAAACTGAGTCTCCCATAAAACTGCTTGGAATTTACCGGAAGCTCGTGTGAACATTCCAAAAGTATTACTACTGAAATTTGTTTCAACTGATCGGTGATTCAATAACAGTTCTTACTGTTATATGAGGGTCAGATTATTCGAAGCACGAAACTGATACTTTCGGCTCATCACCACCGGCTCACACTGAGTAACATCGTTCAAAATGTGTCATATCTATTGATCGATATGCAGACAACTCGACTAACGCCATTCACCGAAGTTGTAAGACTTGCACACTGATTCCGTCAGCAATGTGAGGAGCTAGTTGGTCAGAAGGTAGACATTCCGACGCTCTTTGCGCTTGCTAACACGGCCCCTACCGCGCAGCTATCTGACAAAGTGTCAAACCTCATGGGGTGCCGACACAATCACCCTGGACATCTTACAATAGCACGCAAGTAGCCAATTCTCTCTGTGTGCGTGCGTACTCACTGCCAATGGTGGTGGCGTGGCATGTCGCAGTGTGCTGAGGATGAATCAAACTGCGGTAGCGATTCGACCGGACATAGCCTAAAACGACTAAGGTTTAGAACAAATAGAATAGAAAAATTGAATGTTGACAGTCTGTAGAAATTCTGGTAACCTTGGGTGACCGGGGATTCATTCGGAGAACCCGGCAACTCGCTTGCAAACGTTTCGACGGCGTCAATCAGCGCACTGATGAAGACGAAATGTCTAAAATCCAAGGCCACTCTTGGCAGCTTCATTTACAGGCACCTGCTCAACAAAAAGCGTTTTAATAAATTTGGATACATTGTTGGGATGACAAAAAGGAAACCGGCAAGCAGACATCCTGAACGATCGAATCATCAAGACTGACCTTTATCTAATGATAAGGAACTAACGTCACCGCTGCTGAAAAGAAAAAAAAACAGCTGCAAAGATCCAGCAACATTCCTTGTGCGGACAGATTCGGGTTAGCGACCTAGTGCGCATAAACAGGACGGTCATTGGACTAAAACTTACAAGAAATCTTCCTTGGGTTTCCACTTTATTGTCTTGAATTAGCGTTTCCGAAATTGAACCCCCTTTTTCACTTGGAAGACACTACCTTGAAGCATTCGTTGGTGGTATTTCGAAATTCATGAGATTTCGTCAACCTTTGGAAGTTGATCACTGGCACTCCAGTTGTGAAACATGCATCTGTTCTTCACTCAGTTTCGCAAGACGCATCGCAAGAGTTCACATTGGTTTTGTTCTTCACAAACTCACAGATCATACAATTCTGTCAAGTTTTAGTCTTATTCCAAAAGTATTATTAACCATTTGTCTGGTTCACAGATCCTTTGAACACTTTAGCAGCGTAGTGCGTGACTACATTGTTGTCTTTGAGTTTCGTACGTTCACTACATCACCTGACGCATAAGTACCTGCCAGGTAGACCAGCGGTCCAGGAAGGTCGAATGCATGAGATGGCAGGTGATAGCTTTACCTACTTCAGTTTGAACTCCTTACGGACGCTTTCATATTAGCTACTGATATTCTGTGTAGTACATATTGCTTCAGAAATCAATAAGTCAAATGAAATCTGAACTGTTAACTGTCAGCTGATAACAACAAAGCTTCATCCTGAGATGAGACAGTAGGCAATTTTGTATCATTCTTGAAAGCCGAAGTTTTGGAATGAGAATCGCAAACGTCAAAGCAAAAGTGAAATGGGCCTGAAACACTGTTTTGTGCTCTAACGAGAGAGTTTTTCAGGAGACAGATCGACTTCAGGTATGATTTCTCAGGCTTCTGCCTACTGAAAGAACAAGATAAGGGTGCAAGCACTATTACAACCCCCCCTGAATAGAACAGAGTTTAAACTGGTAAAGACATTAGAACAGCCTTGGTGTAAACTGATAAAGAGTAGAAGAGAATTCGATCAGAAATCAAAGTACGTAATCACGTAAGGCACATATTATGGCAACAGAATAAGATGGTGCGAAAGATGTTTTGAGATCTCTAAGACTAGCTTGCTGAATTAGTCGTGTAAGTCGGGGAATTTTTCAATCTCTGTCAGAAAAAAACCCGCTCAATTCCAATTTCTAGAAAAGGCATGTGCATTACGATTCAGGAATCCATGGATCCGATGACTATCTTTTGTTCAGTCATTCATATCAACAAATTTTTGTGAAAACCATGTTCTGTAGACAGTCGCTTTTTGCGCACTGAGATCATCCGTTTGTCGATATCAACCGATCCGAAAAGAAGCTCCAAGTTTGATTAAATCTGCTCAGGTCGTCACGATCAGCACTTACATCAATGTGGATTGAGAAATCACACTCAAAGACGCGGCGTGGCTTCACGAGTATATAATAACTCAGTCACGTTTAGATGGCTTAGATAGAGCACAGGAATCAATAAGAAACCCGAAAGCTACGATCCCAAACCGTGAATCACCGTTACAGCGACGCTCCGCGAACTTTGAGTTTCAAGCAAACCAAAAGGTTTGTATTACCGCGTCTGTCTCTCTCCAGTGGCTCATACCGGACTTGTGAATTTCGCTGTGGAAATCAAATGTGAACTGGACTGGATTTGTGAGAGAACAGTTCCTTCTTCGCGAGTTTCAATACCGCTATGAAGCTGCACAGAAACGCTGTACACGATGGTCAGTCCACTGGAGCACGAAAAGCAATTATTTTTGATAGTGCGAAGTTTTGGAGCTTTATTGGAGATTTGGTTCTGTAAGCGAAACGCATCCACGCCGAAAGAGCCAAGAAACACTGACGGCTGCTTGTTGGGAATCATCAGTAGTACTCATCTCGTGAGACTTTAGGAGGACTGAAACCCGCGAGGCCCCGGCTAGTAGTCCAAACATTTGACCATTCAGCTGCGGACGAGCTCGGACAAGAGATAGCGCCACTTATTGTTCCGTCACAGGACCCATCTCACAAGGCCACTTATATTGATCAACCCCTCGGATGACGGCTTCTAAGGTGGAAGTTTCATTCATCAGGTGAACTTTAGTCGCCTTTTGATCCAGTTTCTCTGAGCAGTTTGCTTCTAAGTGTTACGTATTTGGGGGATTCGTTTAACATTGCATTGTTGCGTAGAGTAACTTTGTTTCCCGCCGAAAACCTGGCGTACTGCTAGTTACTTTTCGACCTACTGAATTGGTGCCGCTTCCAGGATTCGCGTGTGATTTTTAACGTTTTATCCAAACTGCCGCACTCGACAAAACTGAAGACCACACACCCGTTTTTACAATAAACAACCACATGCTAATCAAGTTTTTTTCTCTCCGAAAATCCTCAGTTTTTGTTCTGTGAATGATCTCAGTCACATCCTCTAGCAATTTACCGCACATGTTGTCTACGATGGCGCCTAACACATTCAATTCCGTCTGACCGCCGCGAGTGTTGATCGTGACGTGTGTTCTTGCGTTGACTTGAGGTGCCGCCGTTCGTGAGCGGATAGACTAGGGATAATGTATTACCTGGTGCGTGCGTGTGTTCGCGCCGCGAACACTGAACGTGATGGTTTCCAGAACCGGATTTTCAGCGTCTCTTTCCAGGTCAGCAGAGTTGTCTGGATAATGACCACATGCTGGGGCAAAAAATTGTGACAATTCTGCTGGGTTGCGGCTTGATATCAAACTGCGGGGCCTGAGAAAAGTTGATGCACTCCGTACCCATGATCGGCGATGCGTTCGTCGAAACTGCTCATAGTTTGAAGGCAGAGAATTTCATGGGATCCGTTTTCCATCGGTTATTAGCAATGCTGCATGAGGTTTTTTGTCCACTTCAAATTAGCTAAGGCATGCAAGTGTCTGCCGACCGCTTAAACGTAAATCTATCATTGTA